AAGTCATAAATGAGGGTATATTTTTATATACTATTTTATTATTTGAGAAGATGATGTTTAGACAATTATAATTTTGGTACGATGCACTTTATAAATCAAGATCTATAGCTGTAAAAGGACGATTAGTGATGAATCTGATGTTATTTGTATGATTTACTTTTCTTTCAGTTATATGTATTTTTCCAACATGAGTGAGTTGATTTTATTATTGGTTTATAGCTCTCAAATTTTAAATTTGCCATTTCTGTCTTTTATATTAAATATATATATTTTTAAAATTAATAGCATTTAAAAAATTTTTATTTTATTATTATTATTTTTTTTTTGGTACATGCCCCTACCAGGAACTGAACCTAGGACTCTCTGGTCCACAGGCCAATGCTCCAACCGCTGAACCAAACCAGCCAGAGCTTAAATATTTTTATTATGAAAATTTTCTTTATTGATTTTAGAGAGAAAAGGAGAAAGGAGAGGGAGAGAGAGAGAGAAACTTTTAGAGAACATTGATTGGCTGCTTCCTGCATGCCCCTCACTGGGGATTTGGCCCACAGCCCAGGCATGTGCCCTGAGCGGGTATCGAATCGGTGATCTCTTGGTGCATAGATAGATGCTCAAGCACTGAGCCACACCTGCTGGGCTATTGTGAAAAATTTTAAACATACACAAAAGTTAAATGGATGCCCCCAATATATCTAACGCTTAGATTTAAAAATTATTAAGAATTAATCATACTTGCTTCACCTAAGGTGTTTTTTTTTTTATTAAACTCTTTTTTTTGGCTCAAATTTTGAAAACATTTCTTTTTTTGGTCCCAGTAATACAGTATTAGATAAATTATAATCCTTAGTTAATTGTATTTATCTAGTCATTGCATAGTCCTTCTTGATTTATTACAGGTTTAAAACGATCTTTAATAATGAAATAAACACCTAGGAACTTATCACTCAAAACAAAAAGCAAAGTCCTGCTTTGAAACTAACCTGCATCTAACTAACCATCTCACCAATTCCATCCTCTGGCTCCCTATCTTCTATCTGAAGTGATTACCCTGAATCCTGTGTTCACTAATATCTTTTTTCTTCTGCAAAGGGAAACCTAATAGAGTTAAGACTGTTGATACCTGATGTCAAAGTGATGTATCGCCCACAGACCCTTGCCTCATTGAGTTGATCTACATGATTTGCTAAAACTATATATTTCTGTTTTTGTTATTTTAAACTTTATAGCAAGTGTATTATGTTTAGTATTATCTTATTAAGTGTATTGTGTTAAGTGTAACTTTTTGAAACTTAATTTTTTCACTTTATATTATATTACTAATATAATGTATGTTGCTGGAGTTCTTTCATATTAACTGCATTATAATAGTCCTCTGTGTAACTATACCACAGTTTGTTTATTCCCTTTTCTGTTGATGTGATGAATTTGAGTTGTTTCCTACTGCAGTATTTTAAAGCAAATTCCAACATGTTATATCAACCCTACATACATTTTTAAAGAATATGGACATTGTCTTACATAATTACAGTGCCATTATCATTTTAATAAAATTGACAACAAATCCTTAATATCCAGTCAATTTAAATATCCTCACTTAAAAATGTTGTAATGTTTTGTTTTACATTTGCGGTGTTTGAAATATATTCAAATAAGGTCCTCATATTACATGATACTTGGTATTATATCTCCTAAGTCTCTTAATATAAAGCACTACCCTCTTCCCTGACTCTTTTTTTTCACGTTATTGACTTGTTGAAGAATCCTAGTGTATGTCCTCCTGTGGAATGTCCCACATCCAGGATTTGTCTGTTTCCTTCCTCTTGATGTTGTTTAATTTGTATCTGAAGGCTTGATTAAATTTGTTTTCAACTATTTTTGGCCAGAATACTTTATAAGTATGTTTGAGTACTAAATATTTTTTCTCATCAAAAGGCTTATGATATCTGTCTGTTCTACCTTTACAAATACTGATTGATCAGCTCATGTTGTAACATTGTCAAGTTTCTTATTAACCTCTCAGTCATTGATCTTTCCAGAATCAGTTGTCTGTCTGGAGATTATAATATGATTTCTAATTCTGTGTGTGTGTGTGTGTATACACACACACACACACACACACACACACACACACACATATATAAATTTTTAAATTTATTTTTTTAGAGAGGGAGAGGGAGAGAGAGATAGAAACATCGGTGTGAAAGAGAAACATCGGTCGGCTGCCTCCTGCATGCCCCATATTGGGGATTGAGCCCACAACCTGGGCATGTCTCCTGACCAGGGATTGAACTCGTGACTTCTTGGTGCATGGGATGCCTCTCAATCCACTGAGCCACACTGGCCAGGCTTTTCTGTGTATTTTTAACTAGAATTCTTCTGTAAAGAATTCTCCCTCATTAACTAAGGCTATTTGTATTTGAATACCTTGAAATATAGTTAGAGAAGGAAAAAATGCTTAGTTATTTCTTTTAAATTCTAATTTTCAGAGTCAAGACCTGGTGTCCAGTTACTTTCAGTGGTGATTCATGAACTTTTAGGAGAGGCATATGGCTTTCTCATTTTAAGTATCCATTTGAACTCCTGGGTCTTCATATATTCAGTTTGTTCAGTTTATTGTAGTTATCTTTCATTTTATGTATGTGAATCATCAGAGCCCCTTCATGTTGGCTTTGAGTCCTTTTGCCACGACCCCAGTAGTCTTAGATAGTTTCCTTACTTTTGACAGAATAAGATGTTTGAGGCTTATCTTACCCATTTTTACCCCAGGCATGTAATCAGTTATTTTTCCAAGAAGCCCTGGCTTCCTTTAGTGGAGAATGATATTTAGAGACCATAATCTGGGCCTTGGGATACTTACCGCTCTTGGGCTCTCACTGTCAATAGGTTTTTTTGGTGGGCAGTGTTAGGAAAATTCCTTTAAAACTAAACAAACAAACAAACAAAAGACTATCAATCATATTGTCATTTCAGATTCAGATTGAGGATTGAATACTTAGTTTCTTTGTTTTTATATTGTATCTCTTTTCCCTTATACTGAAAGCCTTAGTTCCTAACAATGGTAACTTAATTATATATTTGCTTTATTCTGATACAGATGTCCATTTATTATTATATATTATTAATATCTCTCTGCATTAAAATAGTAATAACAAATTATTTTATAGGTCATAGTAATTTCGTAATACCAGTATTATTGCTAATAAAGACTACTGTGTGGCACTTAGGATTTTTTTGCTGTTCTTTATCAATCCTTATACTATATTTCCAATAAGGATGTATAGTTAACATACTGTGTTCCAAGGTCACTTGAAATAATTTTGGTTATACCAACAGCTTGATACACAGTCATGGTTTATTTGTTCAGTGTGTTCTAATTAAAAAAAAAACATTGACATGATCCCAAAATCAAACAGTGTAACTGTATGTATGCAGAGAACTTTTACTTTCGATCCTTCCCTTCCCTTACAGGTGCCATTCTGGTTAATTTTCCTATGTTTTTTGTAAATAAAAGCAAAGCATATCCATAAATTCATATTTCTTTTACCTTCTTGCACAAAAGTTAGCATACTATTTAGTACTTTTATGTGGATATAGTGATTTCTGCAATCCTTGTTATGGTACATGATATTTCATTGTGTGTATCATCTTTTATTCAACCAGTGTCCTATTTGATGGGCATTTTGTTTGTTTCTGGTCTTTTGGCATTATAAATAATACTGCAATGAAGAGCTTTGCAAATAAGTAATTTAGTATTTTCGCATAGGTTTCTGGACATGGGATTGTTAAAGAGTAAATGCCTGTGTAGTTTTTCTAGATATCATCAGTTTCTTTTTATCCACTGTGAACCATTTTCCATTCCCACAGCAATGTGTGGGAGTGCTGTTAACCCACTGCTCTCTACCTGAGCGTATTGTGAGATTTGGATTGTTGCCAATCTGATAGCAGAGAAGTAGTTTCTCCAAATAGTTTTATTTTGCATTTCTCTTAGTTTGAATTGTGAGCGTATTTCCATATACATAAAGGCCATTTTAATCTCTTTTGTGATTGTTCATATAATTTCCCATTTTTTCTATCAAAGCGTTGATTTTTTTTCCTCGAAAAAAATTTAGGAGCCTTTGAGATTTACTGTCAACCACGTTTTAATCTAGGTGAATGATCTAAAGAGTAATTATTAGTGACAGTGAAATGCAGAGGGAGCCTTTACATTTCTGGATGACCATGGGAAAACGTAGGCTTTCAGTTCATGTGTTATATTCCTTTTGATATACTCTTAGTGATACTATTAAATTGTTCTTAAAATTATATTACCTTCTAGTTAATTTGGAGGCATATAGAATTCAGACAGAAAACTTTAGGTATAAGAAATCCTGTTTAGCCCTGCAGGTATGGCTTAGTGGATTGAGTGTCGTCCCATGGGCTGAGAGGTGCCGGTTTGATTCCCAGTCAGGGCACATGCCCAGGTAGTGGGCTTGATCCCCAGTAGGGAGCGTGCAGGAGGCAGCCGATCAATGTATCTCTCTCACACAGATGTTTGTATCTCTCCCTTCTTTTCTCTAATAAAACCAATAAAAAATTTACCAAAAAAAAAAATCCTGTTTAAATCTGCTTATAATACTGTTTGAATACTTTTTGAAAAGTAAGAATATAAATTTCAGATTTTGAGGGATTATCTCAACAAAATCATTTCTGTAGTATCTGGTACACTGTGTTGTGAGATAGTTATATCACTTTATTATTCTTCAGCTCTGGGGTATCTGAAAAATTGTATGCTTTGTACTATAGACTAAGATGATAAAAGTCTGAGTTAATAGACTGGGAGGCTTAAAAAATAATAGGGTGTTGCTTACAAATTTCACAATTGCATTATTCATACATGAGTAGTTTTTCGTTTTAAAATCTAGCTTTGTAATGCAGTCCTAAAACAATAAAATGTCTTTTCTGACAGTTAGTTATTTTTGATGTGATTTTCGATTTAAAAATCAGGTATTCTATTTTTCTAGAAGAACCTAACAAGACATGTGACAACAGTAACACTAGTGCTACCACTACCTCCATTCAGCCTAATCTGGAAAACAGTAACAGCAGCAGTGAACTAAATTCTTCCCAGAGTGAATCTGCTAAGGCAGCTGATGATCCTGAAAATGGAGAAAGAGAGTCTCCTACACCTGTCTCTATTCAAGAAGAGATAGGTAAGAATACACTTCATACGTTAAAACAAGGTGTTTTTGTTTTTGTTTTTTGTTTTTTGTCTTTTTTTTGTATTTTTAATTTTTAAAATGGAAGTTTGATGGCGGTGGGAAGATTTGGATTTTCTTTTCCTTTTTTTCCCTTTCTTTTTTAAAACACAAGTAGCATTTGCAGTCATTGTTTTTGTTTTAAAAAATACCGAAAGCACACAGGAAAAATAGATCTTTTTCATACCCTCCTCCCCAAAGGTAACCCCCATCAACATTTTGGTATGTAAGATTTTTATCTTTCTCCGTGCAGTTTCATTCATGTATGTATGTTTACAAAGTTTTTTGTTTTTTTAAAATTTAAACAGGATCATTTTGCATGTATTGTTCTGCATCTTGTTTTTATTCACTCAGTAATACATGTAATGGATTTTTTTATGTTATAAATTGAGGTGATTCTTTTTTAACTGCTGCATGGTACCTCACAGTATGGATGAACCACAGTTCATGTACTATTTCTTTAAAAATAGACATTTAGACTGTTAACAGTTTTTAAAATGATTATAAATAGGGCCTTTTAACATCCTCAATGTATATCTTTGTGTACTTATGCAAGTATGTTTGGCAGTATAGAAACAGTAAGTGGAATAGCTGGATCAAATGGTTAGGCACATTTTAAAGTGGTGATGGGTACTGCTTAATTGTACATTAAAATTGATTTATGCCAATAATTTTACATATGTATTTCTTTATACTCTGACCAAAATTCAGCATCATCAATCTCTTACATTTTGCCAGTGGTAAAGTATTTCATTAAGAAATTTGCACATCCCCACTTACTAATGTGGTTGAATTTCTTTTCATGCGTTTGTTCAACTTTCTGTGTATTGCTTCTTCATGCAATTTGCTCAGTTTTTTCCTATTGAGTCTAGATATTTTTCGTTAATGAATTTTAAGAATGCATTATAAAGTAGTATGGCTATTAATCTTTGATTTTTCATATATACATGTATAGTCACTGCTTGTTTTTAACTGTTCCTATTATCTTGTACAGACATTTTTACATTTTTATGTAGTTAAATTTGTCAGTCTTTTTCTTTAGGGTTTCTCTGAATTGTGTGTCTTAACTAAGGAATACCATCCCAGGAATATTAATATATTTACAGTAATTTTGCATCATACTTCTATAACTTTGTTTTTAATTCTTCTGGAGTATAAATTTGTGTATTCTATGAAGTGGAGATTTGTTTTAATTAGCACTTTTTCAATTTCAAGTGATCAAATTAGCTTAAACTAGCTTAAGTGGAAAGGGAATTTAATTACTCATGTAAGGGGAAATCTAGGCTTTCATCAGGCATAACTGGACTCTCAGGTATCAAAACTCTTTCTATCTTCTTTTTTTTTTTTTTTTTAAGTTTAATTTTTTTTTTTTTGTACGTGCCCTTAGCGGGAACCGAACCGGGACTGTCTGGTCCACAGGCCGATGTTCCAACCGCTGAGCCAAACTGGCCAGGGCAACTCTTTCTATCTTCCTCTGTTTCACTCTTACCTTTTGGATCTGCATGTCTTTGTATGTTAACTTCATTCTCTCCTAATATAGATAGGTTTTTCCCAAATGGCAGAAAAGATTCCATCAGCAGTTTGTATTAATATCTTTCCAAGGTCTATGACCCAAAGGCAAGGCCACTACTGCTCCAAATCCAAAGCCCAGAAGAAGGAATTTGAGTGGTCTATCTTGGACATATTGTTCCCACCCCCAGTGGCCAGGGCAGGCAAGGTATTGATTGATGGCTCCAGCAAAAGTATGTGATTGGAGTGGGGTAGGAGTGGTTTCCAAAGAAAGAGGGATGCTGTAAAGATAGAAAAGAATAAATAACCACAATTCTACCCTTTGGTAGCTCAGTACTAACTTGTGTATTCAAATTAAAAATACTTCTGCCTAACATAATGCAGAGAGCTGACCCACAACTGAAACTTTAAAAAAAAATTTATTTACCAAAATGACATCTGGTAATTATAATTGTGTGTAGGATTTGTGTTTGTGTGTTGTCTATTATTTTTTATTAGGTCTGGATGTGGCTTATCTTGATCTCAAAATTCATGAGCCGTAATTTGAATTTAACTACTTTTAACCCTCAATATCCTGATAATAGAGGGCATTTTTTGATTAATCTTGCTGCCATTGATTTCTTTGGCTATGGATGAGAACTGAGAAGCATAATGGGAAAATCTCCCTTCTGGAGGCTTTTCTGCTTTAGCAGCCTAGTTCTGGCTGGCTGTTGTCAGGAATGGGTTGCCGAGGATTGCTGTAGGTTTGACTAACCCCACATTCTAGCTTGACAGGTTTGAAATTTTCTCTGGCAATGGCACTTCCTTATAGATTGCATGGGTACTCAGCTAGTACCTAATGCCCAGAAACATGGTGCAGGGTCCTTGAAGGCAAACCTCTTCTACTATCCCTCAGATGAAGAGTCTAAGCTTCTGTCTCCTCACATCTTTTTTTTTTATCCTCACCCGAGGACATTTTTCCATTTTTTGTTCAGATAGAGTGGGAGGGAGAGAGGGAGGGAGGGAGGGAGGGAGAGAGAGAGAGAGAGAGAGAGAGAGAGAGAGAGAGAGAGAGAGAGACATCGATGTGAAAGGGACACATCGAATGGCTGCTACCCGCACAACCCAACCAGGGCCGGGGACAAACTGCAACCGAGATAGGTGCCCTTAGCGGGAACCGTGGTCTCTCTGGACCACAGGCCAACACTCCAACTGCTGAGCCAAACCGGCCAGGGCTCCTCACATCATCAAACACTGAACTCCAGAGGCTGAGGTAAAGTAGCTCCATACTCTGCCTCCAGGCTGCTTCAAAGTGATTCACTCCTTTATAGAATGGCCTTTGGAGAAGGGGTATGAGATAAAGACCTTCACTCTCTGCCTGGTTTTCTTTCGTCTTACCCCTAGGGATGAATTTTCTGCCTCCTTTCCCTTATTTGCACTAAATTTAGCTTGAAGGGCTTCTTTTTAAAAGCTCTGTGCTATTCCCTTTCTTCTTTCTAGGAAGTCCAGCCTAGACCCTAAATAATGTCTATAAAGTCTTTATTGTAGGACTTTATAGATGATCCCAAGATGTAGCCACCAGAGTTCAAAATCTTGTCATACACCTTCAGCATTGGTAGGCTCTTGGTCTGGGACCCAAGAGATAATTGTTGACGGTCTGACCAGCTGCTTTGCTACCGTACATCAAAGGTTTCTAGTTTTCCAGCCTGGGATGGCATGATATCTATTACCTCTACCACATCTTAATTTAGTCATTATCATATTTTGGGATCAAAATCTTAAAATACTCTGTTGCATTATTTAGAATTTATCGATTATATGTGACAGAAATTCATCAGAGTTACTTAAAACAAAAAAGGAATTTTATTGGTTCGTATAATTACGAAGTCCAGAAGTAATGATAGTATCAGGTGCATTACTGGACCCAGTTAAAACTTACAAATTTTTCATGTGAGATTATCACTGGTCTTTTTCTTATGTTCAACACCCCCCCCCCCACCCACCCACAGTGGGCTTATTATTGTCTCTTACTATTGGATGTCGTCTTCATGTTGTGGGGTAAACGTAGCCAGCCTTTAATTTATACTCTTTATGTTCACTAATAACCTTTCTTCATCCTCATATTTTCTAAAGCAAGACTTTCTCCATCTTCAGATTTTCAAAATCGGAATAGGATACTGAACGTTTGGACCACATAACTAGTTGTGGGGCAGTCACTGTGGCCCACTGGTGATGGGCTCTGTCTGGCTAAGCTGGACACTCTAGGGCAGGATACTTCTTTGCAGTCCTGGCAGAATCATATGCTGGTAGTAGGGGAAAGCTTATCCCCTAAGGAAAGAAAGGGTGTTGAATACATAAAATTAACAGATGTTTACTGAATTGTTTTAACTTTCAAATTTTTCAAAATGGATAACCAGTTTTCCCAATCCTGTTTTTTTGTCTATTTAAAATGCCATCTTTATACTATAAAGTATAGTAAGTTTTCTGTTTGGTTTTTCATTCGCCAATGCCACACTGACTTAATTTTATAAAGCTTTAAATTAAAAAAGAAAAATGAGATTTTTTTCAACGATCTGACCAGTGGAAATTGGATAATGATGTATTTATTTCAGAATTATAGAAATTTTCAGCCAAAGTGAGATTCATGGGAAAGCAGAAATTGCTCCTTAGCTGTTAAATGTTACTTTAATTTATTTGTTTATTCTTAAACTTCACTCAAGGATATTCCTCCCGCGCGCACGCCCCCCCTTTTTTAAATTTTGGTTAATCCTCACCTGAGGATGTTTTTCCATTAAGTTTTAGAGGAAGTCGGGTGGGGAGAGAAGGGGAGAAACAATGTGAGAGAGACACATCAGTTGGTTGCCTCCTGCACGACCCCAGCCAGGGCTAGGGATTGAACCTGTAACCTAGGTATGTGCCCTTGACCAGAAATTGAACCCAAGACCCTTCAGTCCGAGGACCGATACTCTAACTCCTGAGCCAAACTGGCCAGGGCACTAGAGGATATTTTTTCATTGATTCTTTTTGAGATAGAGTGGGTGGGTGGGTGGGGGGAGAGCACCACTGATGTCTCTTATCGATTGGTTGCCTACTGAATGACCCTGACAGGGCTAGGGATCGAAACCGCAACTGAGGTACGTGCTATTGACAGGAAATTGAAACTGAGACTCCTTGGTCTGTGGGCTGACACTAACCACTGACCAAAACCAGCTAGGGCTAAATCTGTTACTTTTAAAAATTAAGTTATGAAAATGTGAGAGGCCTTTATTATATTAAGAAAAAATAATTTAGTTAATTTCCACATGTATAATTATTTGCATATATAGATAATTACCTGGATTCTTGAGGAGAAAATGCACTTGGTATTTACACTTATAAACGTTCAACTATTAGGAATTTGAACCAAATTTAAGTGGAAATCTTTCTAAAATTAATTATATCATTTACTTGAAAAAAATTTTTTTAATGATTTTTAGAGAAAGGGAGAGAGAGATAGAAACATTGATTTGAGAAACATCAATCATCTGCTTTTTGCACGCCCCCTACTGGGGATCGAGCCTGAAACCTGGGCATGTGCCCTGACCAAGAATCGAACCATGACCTCTCACTTCATGGGACTGAGCCACGCTGGCTGGGCTATATCCTTTACTGTTTATACAGAAATCCACATTTAATATATAAGGCAACATTTCATTAGTGTGCATTTTGAGTTGTTATGTTTGTTACTTATAAATTTGTAGCAACCCTTTCTGTTTTTCTAATAGATGAGCTTTGAAACAGATAACCCAGCATGCTTGAATTTTCTGTAAAATAATAAATGACTCACAGTCAAGTTCTAACATAACTTTCTTTTAAATAAAACCTGTAAGAATTAATATATTTGCTTTGGGTCTTTAAGGACTTTTTCTGTTCACTTTCTGAATTTTAGATGTGTACCAGGTGTGAGTTTTAGATAAAGTAGTATTATATATAACTTACTTACTGTTAACAATTACTTTTGGCTTTTCATTTGATAACAGGTGATTTCAAATCAGAAAAGTCTAATGGGGAAATAAGTGAGTCTCCTGGAGGTGGACGAGGAACATCTGGTTCAACTCGAATCATCACCAGATTACGGAATCCAGACAGCAAACTTAGTCAGCTGAAGAGCCAACAGGTGGCAGCCGCAGCCCATGAAGCAAATAAGTTATTTAAGGAGGGCAAAGAGGTGTGTTCTTTCTGCTTAAAACAAAATATTCTTGAATAAAAAGTAATTTTATTTACCATACCTTCGAAATAGTAACGGGTAGTTTATAGACCTTCTTTTGAATTATATTTTCTCCCCTTCCAAGAGTGTATTAGATAACAAGAATTAAATGTTAGTTTTAACATAGTGGTGCATGGGATTTTGGTCCATGCATAGAAATGCTGTAATGGGTAGTATACTTTCTTACTTTCTGGATAGTTTTATTGAACATAGTTCTAAAGAGATCAGGGCTTTTTTCCCCACATATAGTAATGAGTAGGCTATTTTTAGATTATTTAATGCTCAGATCCGGTTAGAATCATTTTAGGTGAATTTGCTGCTAAAGGACAGAACTTACTCCTTGATGGCAGAATACATTGCATAGAAAGCACAGCATTTCAGCTCTGACTATGAACAAAAAGATTGAAGCTAGAACTCAGTATTTCTGCCCCTTGGCTAGCCATAGTGAGAGTAATGGCCACAACTTTGTCTCCTAGTTGAGAATCATTTGCAGGGTAGGTATTCGAGAATATATATTGTTCTTTTCTTAACATCATTGGAATTGCTCTTACCCTCAGTAAGACATTTTTCATAGTCCTCCAGCACACACACACACATTTCCTGAAATAGTATTTTAACTGACTGTGTGGGAAGTACTCTGTTTTTTTTTTATCTTCATGTGAGACATTTTTCCATTTTTTTGTTCAGATAGAGTGGGAGGGAGGGGGGGAGAGAGAGAGAGAGAGAGAGAGAGAGAGAGAGACATCGACGCGAAAGGGACACATTGAGTGGCTGCCACCCGCACGACCAACGAGGGCCGGGGACAAACCGCAACCAAGATACGTGCCCTTAGTGGGAACTGAACCCAGGTCTCTCTGGACTGCAGGCCGATGCTCTAACTGCTGAGCCAAACCGGCCAGGGTGTACTCTGTTTTTTTATCTTCTGTTATATTTCATTTTTTTTAAAAGCTAAATAAGGTCCATTATTGATTTCTTAGTCCACTAAAGGACTGGCCTCAACTCTTTGAAAACACTATTTTAGATTATCCTTGGGCTCTCTACTAAAGCTGAAATCGATAAAAGGAGCAGTAGAAAAGGTATTTTTAGGAATACATGTTTTTGGGAATAGTACATATAAATACCCTCATTTTTCAATAACCTACATATTGTAGACTTGAAATAATGATGGGTGAATGATTTACACATTTAGTTTTGTGTGTATATTTGAGTTACATGAAAGTACTTAATGTCTCACATATAATAGGCACTTAATAGAGATTAGTTTTCTTTTTGGCAGGCATATCTTGATTGTTTAGTTATAAACAATTAGATTTAGCTTTTAAGCTTTAGAAGTTCAATCATAAGCTGTATCTTATTTGGAATGATTAAGGTACAAATTATTAAAAGACAATTGATCAAATTTGCATATTTTATATGAACAATGGAGTCTTTTTATTTTTTTTGGTCAGGTACTGGTAGTTAACTCTCAAGGAGAAATTTCACGGTTGAGCACCAAAAAGGAAGTGGTCATGAAAGGAAATATCAACAATTATTTTAAGTTGGGTCAAGAAGGGAAGTATCGTGTCTACCACAATCAGTACTCCACCAATTCATTTGCTTTGAATAAGCACCAGCACAGAGAAGACCATGATAAGAGAAGGCATCTTGCACATAAATTCTGTCTGACTCCAGCAGGAGAGTTCAAATGGAATGGTTCTGTCCATGGGTCCAAAGTTCTTACAATTTCTACTCTGAGACTGACTATCACCCAACTGGAAAACAATATCCCTTCATCTTTTCTTCATCCCAATTGGGCTTCACACAGGTAAAGGAAACTAAGGTTTTTTTATTGCTTTGAATATAGTAAATATTTACAAAATGATCACTGCAGATGGATGCTTCTAATAGTCACTACCAGTGAATTGAATGAAGTCAGTTTAGTCCACTAAACACTGAGGACATTAGTGATGTGAGTGTACTTCTAAGTTACGGAACCAACACAAACATTTGGGAGATTTCTGGAAAGCAGACGTTTTATTCCAGGAGTCAAGTGGAGGCCAAACAAAGTAACAGAACACGGTTGAAAGTTTAAGACGTCAGAGGACTAATTTGACCTTTGAGATTCTTTCCAGTGGTCAAAATTATGATTCTGTGAGGTAGAAAATTCCAGTAGCAGTGTATTTATACCTGCTTAGCCTAGAAACATATGCCCTGTAAGATGGAGGTGTCATAAATTACAAGTCTTGTGCTCGTAAGTTAGGATCGATGAAGTGAAATATTTGTTTTTCCTTCTGAAATATAGGGCAAATTGGATCAAGGCAGTTCAGATGTGTAGCAAACCCAGAGAATTTGCACTGGCTTTAGCTATTTTGGAGTGTGCAGTTAAACCAGTTGTGATGCTACCAATATGGCGGGAATCTTTAGGTCATACCAGGTAAGTGAATTCTGAGCCCTGTGTGAAGGGTATATTAGATTCCTTTTTGGAAGATAAGTCTATTGAGAATGAAAGCTAATGTATCTAAAAGACCATATTAAAGACTTAATTCTTTTTTTAAAATATGTTTTTGTTTTGTTTTAGTTGATTTTTTTTTTTTAGAGAGAAAGAGGAAGGGAGAAATAGAAACATTGATGTGAGATAGAAACATTAATCATCTGCCTCCTGCAGGCCTCCACTGGGGAACGAGTCCGAAACCTGGGCATGTGCCCTGACCAGGAATCACCTCTTAGTGCATGGGATGATGCTCAGTCCACTGTGCCAAACCTGCCAGGCTTAAATATGTTTTATTTATTGATTTTATTGATTTTAGAGAGAGAGGAAGGGAGAGGGAGGGAAATGGAAACATCCATGAGAGAGAACATTGATTGGCTGCCTCCTGCATGCCCCCCCCACTGGGGATTTGGCCCACAACTGGTCATGTGCTCTGACCTCTTGGTGCATGGGTTGACGCTCAACCACTGAGACACAATGGCTGGGCTTAAATATATATTTTTTTATTTATTTATTTTTTAAGAGAGAGGAAGAGGCAGAGAGATGGAAACAATCCACTGCCTCCTGCACTCCCCCACTGGGGATTGAGCCCACAACCCAGACATGTGCCCTGACAGGGAATGGAACTGGGACCTCTCAGTCCATGGGACAACGCTTAATCCACTGAGTCACACCTGTTAGGCCAAGACTTAATTCTTGTTGGCCTCATTTTTCTCCTGTATAATAAGATGTAAACATGAGTGTACATTAGTTCTAATTTATGATACAGGATTGTAATGAAGATCAAAGTAAAGTATATGAAATTAATATTTTCTACAGTAAAAAAAATCTTTATTGAATAAAAAGAACTCTTATATTTTGAATATTTATTCTAGAATGTTTCAGGTACTTTGTTAGGTTTATTTAGAGTTGAATATCTGGCCAAAGGTTATGTAGTTCCTAAGTAGTAGATCTAGAGGTGTGTAACTTCAGCAGATGGTAAAAAAAAAGAAAAGAAAAAAGATAAATTTTGTGTATGAGATCTACTTTTTTGCCCTAGGGATTTTTAAAAAAAACTTTAGTTAGTCTTTAATAAATTATTACTACAAAACTAATAAAAGCTTATAGTAAAAATGAAAATTACTGTTCAGTGTGAAAAGTAAGAATCATTCCACCTACAGGGCCCAGTCCAAAGATATTTTGCCTTTTCTGTAATATGAATATAGCTTTGTGTTGCTTTCAGCCTCTGTGTTTTTGTTTTTTTAAACCCTCACCCAAGGATATTTTTCTATTTATCTTCCGATAGAGTGGAAGGAAGGGAGGGAGAGAGAGAAAGGGAAACATCAGTGTGAGAGAGATACGTCGTTGGTTGCCTCTTGCACGACCTCAACCAGAGTTGGGGACAAACTGCAACTGAGGTACGTGTCCTTGACCAGAAGAATTGAACCCTCAACTCTGGTCTGTAGGCCGACACTTCCAGCCACCGAGCCAAACCGGCCAAGACTTTTAAACAACAGTTAATTTATACCTACTAATCATTTTTCATCTGCTAAGGATTGCTATCTTTTTCTTTTGTGTTTTCTCCAATAAATCTTATGGGTACCTTTTTTTTTCTTTCTCTTATCTTCCTCCTATTTTGAATATAACTGCTGCTACCATTAGAGGTTTCCAAAAATTGAGTAGACTTAATTCTTCCTTAGCTTAACAAAAACGGGTTTGGCTAAGGTGCTATAGACTGTACCCCTGGAGAAGAGAAATAACTGGGTGGCATACCTTTATTCTACTTCTTATGGCTCTTTTTTATCAGGATAAACCCAAGAGACAATCAGAGGCCATTATGAGGCAATACTCTGTATTTCTGTTGTTCCTTCTTGCATTTAACTTCAGACTTGCACCAAACCAATCTGTCCCAATATTCTCCTATTCAGTGATATTCTGAAACTTGTATTAGTGCACCAGGTAGCCACATCTGTGATGGCCGAGATCAGTACTTTGAGAACTAAAGCTAACCCAGATGTTGCTAGATAAAAGTCCCAATACCCAAACATAACTTAGAATGACTGAATTGTACCTTTGATACATTTATTTGTGAATAGTAAACATTCTAATAAAGATGGTTTTCAATATCTTAAAAAATTGAGATTTTTTCCTTCCTGTTTGTCATTATGATTAGTCATCTATACAGGTTACTTAGAGTTATAAAATTATATTATGAATTGTATTAATGACACATGTAACATATATGAAACTTTATTAATATGACAAGGTGAGAAAAAATAGGACACTGAATTTTTAAAAATATTAGAGACCCATGATTCAGGAAAATTAGAATTTAATAATAGGACTTAAATTTCTGGCAAGACTGTGGTCAACTACTTCTAGGTGATAAACTTCTAAGAAAATATCTAGAAATTCAACCAAATATTTTATTTAAAAAATGTTTGTTTATTGTGTTATTCAGTAATAAAGCTTGAAGAGCAATCTAAACCTAAGCATGTCAGAATATTTTTAAAATAATGGTAAATTAGAATATTTTTTGAGAAAATTGTAGTTTTTATTGACAAACATTAAAGAATACGTAATATAGCCCTCACTGGGTAGCTCTTTTGGTTTGAGCGTTGTCCCATTGTGCCAAAGTTGCATGATCAATTCTAGGTCAGGGCCCATACAAGAATCAACCAATGAATGCATAAATAAGTGGAACAACACATCAGTGTTTCTCTCTTTCCCTCCCTTTCTCTTTCCCTTCCTCTGTCTCTAAAAAACACCAATAAATAAATAAGTGATTAAAAAACAAACAATACCTAAATAAATGGAAATATATTTTATGCTCATGTATAGAAAGACTTAGTGTCTCAAGAGTGTCATTTTTTTCTCGTGTTAATGTATGAATTAGTTTCAGTAACAATTATAATTATAGTTGAGCTTTCCGTAGAATTTGACAAGATGGTTAGAAAATTTGTTTGGAAAGGGGCAGTAATAGAAAAGGTAGTATAAGGTAGGACTTGCCCTACCAGGTAACATCTCATTTGGTGGCTATAATAATACTGTGTTACAGATGCAAAGATAAACAAATAGACCAGTGGTACAGAATAAACAGTCCAGAAGGAGACCAACCCACATATGGAAATCAGATTTATGATAAAAATAACATTAGATCCCTGGGTGGTTTGGCTCAGCGGTTAGAGTGTCGGCCCTCGGATCAATGAGTTGTGGGTTCGATTCCTGCCAAGGGCATATACCTCAGTTCCAGTTCGTCCCAGTCCTGGTCCTATGGGAGGCAACGAGTCGTGGTTCTATCACATTGATGTTCCTCTATGTCTCTCTCTTTCTCTCTCTCCCCTCCCACTCTATTTGATGATAAATAGAAAAGTATCTTGGGTGAGTGAAAAAAAAAGAAATAGCATTAGACAGGCTAAACTATTCAGTAAAAGGTGATGAAGAAATTAGTTAATCCATACAGTAGAAAATTGGATTCCATTCTCTATATCATACACTGTAGTCAGTTTCAGGTAGAATAAATTATAAATGTGAAAAGCAAAACTTGAAATCTCCAAGAAGAGAATATAAGAGATTATGATTCTGGAATAAAGTTGCCCTCCCCCACCCCTTTCCCTTTCACCTTCATTTCCTTCCTTTTTCCCTTCCATCTCTTTTCCTTTTTCTTCTTGCCTCTCTCCTTATGTTCTTTTCTTCTCCCTCCCTCTTTTCCTTCCATACTTCCTTTCTTTTCTCCTTCTCTTGATTGTTTTCTTTCCTTCTTGATTCATTCGGTATGTCCCTAAATGTACCTAAGGGGGGCAATTTTTCTTTCATTTATAAGTATGCTTTCTATCAGATGAAAATGAGTGTGCATGTGAGTGTCTTGTGTCTATACGTGATGCAAATGACTCCTTTTTTAAAAAAAATATTTTTTCCTTTATTGATTTTAGAGAGGGAGAGAGAGATGGAAACATTGATGAGAGAGAACATTGATTGGCCGCCTCCTGCATGCCTCCCACTAGGGATTGGGCCCACAACCTGGGCATGTACCCTGATCGGGAATGGGTCGACGCTCAACCAGTGAGCCACGCCAGCTGTGCATGACTCCTTTTTTATGTTTAGTGTGGTGATACATACATAAGATTGTGTATCATATATAAGCTATAGTGGGTAGTAATAAAATGAACACCTGTGAATTCACCACCCAATTTAAAAAGAAGAGCAGTATATCATTATTGTTGAATCTACTTGCCATTCACATTACCTTGCCTCTCCTGAGAGATAATCATAATTATTTGTTTTATTCTCACCCAAGGACATTTTTCGATATTTTTTTCAGATAGAGTGGGAGGGGGGGAGAGAGAGAGAGAAACATCAACGTGAAAGGGACACATCAAGTGGTTGTCACCCACACAACCCAACCAGGGCCAGGGACAAACTGCAACCGAGGTACGTGCCCTGAGCGGGAACGGAACCTGGGTCTCTCCGGACTACAGGCCAATGCTCCAACCGCTGAGCCAAACCTACCAGGGCGATGATCATAATTTTTAAGTTTGTGTTTTATTATACCCTTCCTTTCACTATTGTGCTTTCATCACATATATATCAGTGAACAGTGGATTGTTTTCTATTGTTTGTGTTTTATAATAATGTATCATCCTAAAAGACTAAGTCATAGAGTTTGAAGATATTTTTATTGTTTCATTATATTATAGTCATTATATTGTAGTAAAAAGAATGGTTATTATTCGCAATATTTTCAACAACTTCAGGTCAAGAAAAAAACAAAAAACAATCAAACCATTGAGTAGAAAGAAAAACCAAAAATACAATCATATCACAGAAGAGGAGACACAAATAGCCAAAAACATGAAAAGATATTTAACCCCCATGGAAAATGTACACTGAAACTAGGGCATATCCCAGGCCTGTGTGACTCCGTTGGTTGAGCGTCATCCTTTACACTGAAAGGTCACCAGTTCAAT